ATTTGTAATTATGAAAGCACTGTTGGGCTTCTGCCCATATGCAGACATCTCTTCCCATCCCTTTCTGTACATGTAGCTCCTTCTCTTTCCATCTGGTTTAATTCCCTCCTGCTGTTTTTGGGACGAAAGTGTTGGCTTGGCATGAAAAAGCGTTTGCGGTTGGGAGCGGCTGTTGCGGTTGTTTTCCAACACCCCCGCTGCTCGTTGAAAATGCAACAGCAGCAACAGGAATAAATACCCTAGGAAACCAAAATTGGAAAATGCCAGAAAAAAAATTTAAAAAAAGGTTTAAAAAAATGGTTAAAGTTTAAAAATCAATTAAAGCAATTTTTTACTATCCTCATTACTTTTAAAAAATTGACAATATGGAGGGCAATATAATTTTTTGCCACAAACAGGCTTACAACTTTTTGTTAAGTACTAAAAAACACTATTTTATAGTAATCAGCCAAAGCAAAAGAATTAAATTATCACATTTATGTATGTTCAGAACTTGAGATATTCCCAAGTCGAATCTTTGAAGTTTTACTACACCCGCACCACCCTTAAGTCACCGAAAACTCTAAATTTAAAAGCACCAAAGAGAACGTCTACAATGTACAAAATTTCAACTCATTGGCTTGATAAGAAAGTCCTCCCAGCGTAGTGATCCATTTTACAAGTTTCTAACGAGTAAACCGAAAGATAAATCTGAAGAGCAGGGAAAGGGAAATAAACAAGAGTCGGACAAATAAGCAAATCAAAATGATGCCAACGAGTGGCACGAAATCAAATTGAAATTGAAACTAGACAAAGTGAATTGGCAGGGAGCCACAGTTGCCATTGTGCCAATTTTGGGGTTCGTGGGGTTTGAGGGGGCTGGGGATCGGGATGCGATGTGTTATACAATATTATCATGCTTATATAATTTGCCCGCACATACATACACACACATTGACACAGAAATATATAGAGACAAACACATGCGAAACTGCGATAAAGCTCGAGTAACAAAGTTGAATGGCTGTCTACATCGCAGGACGATTTTCGGGGAAGGGGAATTCCGGCGTATCAAAAGTTATCGTGCTTGTGTCCCTGTGAGTTTGACTGGAGCCAAGGATTATCAAAGTATTAGAGGAGCAGCGCTCCAGACTCGGATTCAGACTCAGTTTTAGCTCTAGCCTTTGCGCCAGCTTCGTCTTGAGCTTTGACTGCTCCTAAGTTTTCGCACTTTATGGGACATCGTTGTCGTTGTCCTGCTTGCCAAAAGCCTCGGGGGCTCATGTGGCAGGCTCGACTCGTCATAAAATCTCTTCCCAAAACACTGGGAAAAATATATAATATATTTCTTTAAACAATATAATATAATAACTATAAGAAAATATCAACTTTCATGACAGTAAATAATTTATTTGAAAAAATTAATGATACGCTTTTTAAGGATAAACGTTTCCTAACAATTTTTCTTACAAGTGCCGCTTTTTCTCCCAGTGTAACTACCACAGTGAGTGGAAATCGCAGAAAACGGAAGCTGGGCCAACGCACATGCATAAGTGAAAGACAAAAGACGCCAAAAGACAAAGGCACTGGGCTAACAAGAAAAAAACACGAGATAGGGAAAGCAATAGGAACTAACAGGGCAGGGGGACCAAGTTAAAGGAGCAGGAATTGCAACTTGCTGGGACATGTAAGAATTATTATCTGCTCTTGCACTCTCAAGTGGCCCCCAAAGAAATGGGGAGGGGGACAATGAATAATGTCCTTGGCGCGCAATGCGGAAATGCAGGCTGCTAGGACCCAAAAGGATACAGCAGTAGGTAAATAAAACAGAGTAATAAAGGAAATATGCTTTCGCGAACATTTCAATCGAAATAAAATTTTATAGCCACCGTTTTATTTTCACTCAGCAGGCAAACCAAAAGCGCTCACACCACACCGAAGTATACACGTTAAATAAACTAACTTTTTCCAACTTCCGCTTTATTTTTACAAATTTTTGGCAGCAACAAATTCCATAAATGTCTATAACGCATTGAATTTCTGCGGTGTGCGGTTGGCGGATGTTTTATTTTTAAAATTCTCTTCTAATTTGAAAATTGTTTGCTGCTTCAAATATGTTTTGCGCCCTCTGCCGTTTTTGGCACTTAGTTGGCCTTTGGCCAAATTACTCGGTGCTGGCTAACGGGGCGTGTGCGTAATGTGCTGCTTTGCTAACTTCTCTTTGAAGTGGCACACGTGAGCATGGCAAACAATGTGCCATCGGGCATTTTTGCGATATTTGCGAATTGGCTGCTCACTTTGTGGAGTTCTGTTTTCCTGTTTCACAGTTTCCATTATTTAATGGTGGCCAATTAAAATATAATCAGTTGGCTAATTGAATTGCGTATTATGTGGGTCAGTTAGTGTTTTTAGTGGTTGGAGAAAATTAGAAATGGAGATAAAACTTTGTATGAGATTGCAGCTATTGGAACATTTAAATAGAGCTTGGATTGCACCAATTTGAGTTTCGACAATAGCATTTATACAACATTGAAGGGATTATATCTTTCTAAAAAATAAGACAATTCGGTTTCTTCTAAATTTCTAAAAAATAAGACAATTCGGTTTCTTCTAAATTTTATCAAAGTAGTATCCCATGTTAGCTTTCCATATTTTGTAATGTTACTAACTTACTAACGTATTTCATTGGAAATTTTTACTAAAGTTTACAAAATAAAGGGCTTATACATTATATCGATTTTTTTTTAAATCGTAGGGCCGTTCTTTGATCTTCCTTCCACCACCTCTCAATATAAAATCAAAACCACATTATTACCTCGACGCCAAGCCAAAAACATTCCCGAGTCATTTGTATTTATTTCTTTGTATCCGCAATGCAAATGAAGTTGTTCCTCTGGCTGTTACAGTTCTATCTTTGTTTTTATTATTTTTGCAATTAAATTTCATTTGTGGAAAGCACCCACATACACAGAAATGAAATTGCCAGAGGGAAAAACAGCAAGAAGCAATTGCTGTGAAAGAAGTTGCCAAAAAAAGGAGGGAGAAAATGTCTATCAGGGCAAGCGGAGGGGAAAAACAACAAATAATAACGGCGTTGATTTCATTTCTCATCTGGACCTCCGCCCTTCTGGCCCTTTATTTTGTCATCCCCTTCCATTGGCCGTCACTTTTTTCGTTTCCTCTTTTTTGCCCGCTTTGTTTGTCTACTTGTTAGCAGCCGCCTTGGCATTAACACGTTAAAAATTCGCTGTCCGCTTTTCCGCCTTTCCCTCTCCTTTTCACTATTTCCGCTTCCTTTTAAGTGAGCCATAAAAAACAAAAATCAACGAACTTTCTGTCGCCCAACGCCTCGTTATTTGTTTGGCCATGTTTACGGAAATCATTAACATTTTCCTCAAGCTCCCAGCGCAGCTCTAATGAATTGGAAGTGAAACCCCCAAGAAAATGACTGAGTAAAAAAACAGCACAAATATACTGCTGTATAAAAGTAATTTGCAAATTGAAGAATCAAGCAAAGGGAAAATATTCCTCTTAGTTAGGGGATCGATAGCTCAGTATTATTTTATCTAAAGAACTACTTGAGGGAAACACAAGTGGTTTTAAAATTGTTAATTTTAAAATTATTAAATTTATTACAAATTAGAAAAAGTCAGTGGTACAATATTGCTGGGTAAATTAGTTTTTTGGGTTACCAAAAATATTACACTTTTAAAAGGAAAATTTAACTGAAACCATAAGTAGGAACTTTAAAGTTTAAACTAAATTGGTTCCGGTGATTTATTAGGCTTACTTTGAAAGTGGGTAATTGCCGCACTTTTCCAACACTTTCCCCTATTTTCCAGCTTCCATCGCACTGCGATGGCCTTCTTTTCAAGCCCCATAACGCGACCCCAATGGGGCTTTTCCCCCCAGCCACTCTCGGCACAACTCAACTTAACTTTTCACTTTCAATTTGCCAGGCTCTGCGGCCCATAAAGCGGGGCGTTTATGGCCAACACGCGTGGCCAACACACTGAAACCCGAACAAGCCACCGAAAAAAGAAACTTTCATAATTCATAAGCTGGAGGAATAAACTGCCGACTGAGAGAATCTACTAAGCACACGGCAGCACTTGGATTTACGCTTTATAGGGGGCAAATGTGGTATGGGATCCGTGAGAAGGCCGCAAATCATGTTTTAACAACTTAATAAGTTGGGAAACGCTCGTCCAGCCAACCGAATTTGAATATTGGCCCAGAGTCGGGACATGTGTCTAACATTCTGTTTTTTCCCCAGCCAAATCTTATGCGTCTTCTACCTCATGACGTGCGCATTTTCCTGCTTCATCATCAGAGGCAAAAGGAAAAAAAAGGGAAGAGAAAGATGAGACCACTCCTCGATGCTTTTTATTTGCGCTGGCTTTTTATGACATTTCAAGGGAAAATTTATATAATAATCATAAAAGCGGGAGAGCATGACCGTTGCGGAAATGCTGCGATTTATTTGTATTTGCAGAGTCTTTTCCGCTCACTATGTTTGTGTTTTATTTGCAGCCAATTGATTTGACTGGCGGCGGGCAACTGGTAAGAGCGATGATGGGTCTGATTTTCGTTTTTTTTCGGTGCCCCGGGGATTGTTTTTGGCGATGGCGAACATAAAAGTGTAACATCATATGGAGCACTCGTCTTCTGGTGCACGAAGCCATCATTGTTGCCACTGCGGCTCACTTTATGTGGCATGAATGCTTTTATGACCGCCCACACATCGCACGGGCAAAGTCGGAAAAATCGCTGGAGAAGCGGGAAAAGCTTGCACGGCTGTTTGGCCGTTTCACTGCGCATCAAATCAGGAAATTGTTGCAATTAAAGTGTAAATAATGATGCAGCTAACAATGAATTACGAGTGGATGGGAAAAGAGAAAGGAAGTTCCTACCCGCTGGTTTAGGCCTTTAAACGTTTGCTAAAAACAGAAAAAAATGTTTTATTCATTATACATTTCCAAAACCTACCATTTTATTTAAACAACGTAGGCTTTGACAGAGAATTCCTTTGCCACGTTCTCCCTTCCCTAGAAATTCTTTAGTTTACCCCCAAAACTCTACAAGGAAACATCTAACTTTCAATTTTTATTTCAGTTTTCGAAAATAACTATCAGAATGTTGTGAGTATAAAAAAAAGAAAACATAACCTACCTATTACAAAAAAATAAAATCTCGACTCAGTGAATCGTTCAATTGGAATTCGGGACTAGATCTGAAGAATTATCGTGATATAAAGCAACGTGTAATGAAAAAAATCGGGGATCTGGAGCGCAGGGGAGTCATTTGGGGTCGTCTCATTGGCATCGAAGATGGCAAGGACGATCCTTTTTTTCGATTCATGAGGGAGAACGCCTGAGTCGGTTCACAAAATTATAATAATGTACATTTATAAGTTACTTTAACGCAAGACAAGAATATACTCGTTCAATAAACAAAATGCATTATCATGCGTAAATAATTTGAATATATTATTTTTTATGGCACTCGTGTCTCTCAATTATTCGCTTAGCCTTTTATTATGACGCCGTTGCCTGGACAACGATTCAACCGCAAAAATGGGAACTAAAAGAACGGCCTGAAACAAGACAACTTCGAAAATGTTTCCCAGGTTCAGCCAAGCTGAAACATATTGCACAGGCACAGGGAAAACTGAAAAGCGAGTTGGGTGGCGTAAAAAAGTTACTGAAAAATTGCAGAAAAATGACATTAATTTTAATGCATCGCGACAACCCGAACAAAATGGAAAATACAAAAATTGTCCCAGTTTCCACTCGTTTTTTAAATTAAAAATTGTTTGTGGCGCGCATTTTGCATTTTTGAAAAGCGGACACTGGATGTGTTGCCGTGAATTTTTATTGTGGATTTCCTTTTATTGGAACGAAAGGAATCCTTTACCTTTCCTCGCCTCCCCGCTTGTCACTTGAACTGTCAATTACATTTGTGAACCGCTCATCCTCGAGCTTCCCCACATCAAACTCATTTTCCTGTGCATGCATGCGAAATTTTCCTTCGATTCTCTTTATTTCGGTTTCATCTTTTTCGGATCGGGGTTTTCCGCTCATATTGTACTTATGTATATTCCTCAGTAGCGGCATTTGATTAACATTTAAATTTGCCTTCGGCGTATGTGCAACTGACAGTTGAGTTTGGCCTGTACTGCGGTACATTTTCTTCACGTTTCCATTTCGATTTCCCTGGGCTCGAGTGCAAAGTGTGTGCTTATGACACACAATAATCAATTGTTTTAGCCCCACTTATCGAGTGCCAATAGAATCCTAGCTGCGTCCTGTTCTGGACATTCGATTCGGTTCCAGTCAAGTCTAGTTATTGATGATGGCTCTGGAAATCGGACTACACTCTGACATATATTTATATTACTCGCTGCGGCAAATTGTTTATTGTTTATTGAAATGAAATATTGTTCTCGGGTGCCTCGGCAATTTGCATGCGTTGATTGCTAAAATAAAGTGTTCTCTCGAAGGCAAATCAAAATGCTGCCGTTCGCTTTGTTTGAGGGAATAACAAAAAGTGCTCACAACTATTGCCAAATCCTGTGTGATAGTTCATTGGATATGCAATTCCATTTTTCATTATCTGCTCCGACACATTTATTTATATTTTATTTAACCATTTAAAATACAATATTTGGAGACTTTTGGAGGGACAATTTAATTTATAATTTAATTATTTTTTAATTAAATTTCCAATTTTACAATAGAAAGTCTAAAATATTTATTAATCACTATGGACGGCAGTCCATGTAGTGACGAAGCGCACCAGGAGAGTGTGCGAAGGCGACTACTATATATACACGAAGAAATGAAAATCTGCTGTGATTGTCAGATCGTAATGAGTTATACACCAATCGAAAGGTATTGCAAAAACTTAAAGGATTGCATACCAAGACTTTAAGAAAACCAATTGGATTGGGAGAGAGAGCGGTGAAAGTGAAAAAGTGCAAATTTCGAAATTTGGAGCTGTTGGGGCCGGTGGGGATAAATGCCCCCTCGCAATGTTTTAGTTGTGTTCCTATTGAAAATACCGGTCATATGATAAAATCCGACGCTCCGTTCAAAAGTTATAGCCAAAATAAGATTTTCTTCTTCTTCCCAAAATGAAAATTTAATTCTGTTTGTCAGTTTGTCCACTTGTCCAAAATATGCTTTTTAAGTTCTGAAAATTTGATATGACGTTCATCACATCGATATAAAAAACTTTTGTTCTACCACTTTTGGAAAAACCCGCTAGTTTAGCGGGAAAACAGCTATAAATAGCTAAAATTCGGAAAGCCGTAACTTCTATACTACTAAAGCTACAGACTTGTGCTGCATCTCGTTTGAAAGGTATTTTTAAATGCTATAAAATGCTTCTATATGCAATTTGTGTAAATGTAATAGTTAAAAAGATATGAACAAAATAAAATTTGTTTAAACTTTTTTTTTAGCTTTTTTTTAATTTTCTCAAAAACGGCTCTAACGATTTTCCTTACAACTTTAAACTGTATAGCCCTCGAGATTCCTTAAATTTTGGTATATATCATGTTTATGTAAAAAATCGCGTTTAAAAGTTATTCAGAAACGAAAATAGCCACTTTTGCCAGCTCAGAACAACTAACGCTCCCTGAGTATTGAATTTTATGGAAGGGTATCCGAACTGTATTTTAGGGTCATGGAATCAGTAAATTTGCACTTAAGAGTTCCATATAGGAATCTTTTGTTCTACGACGTTTGGAAAAAGCCGCTACTTTAGCGGGAAAAAGCTAAAAATAGCTAAATTTCGTTAGCTTGTAAGTTCTACACTACTAAAGGTACAGAAATGTGCTATACCTGGTTTAAAAGGTATTTTGAAATACTTCAACGCCTTTTTAACTTAATTTGTTAAAATACAATAGTTTAAAAATTATGATTGACCAATTTAAATTTAAATTTATATATTAGCTCCTATGAGAGCAAATGTAAACAAACAAAAATTCTGATATCAAATAAAAACACCTCTTAACGAGGTAAAAACCTAGTGACGACCGCACCTTCAACATACAAAAGTTCTGATATCAACATTTGTGACGAAAAATTATTACACTCGTCATTAAATAGACTTTCTAATATTTTCTCATTCGGCACGCTGCTATAGAAAATGCCTGTGAAGGGAAAAAGGCTGGAATAGTTTGCTACGGCGGGCCGAATGTGAAAATATTAGAAAGTCTATTTAATGACGAGTGTAATAATTTTTCGTCACAAATGTTGATATCAGAACTTTTGTATGTTGAAGGTGCGGTCGTCACTAGGTTTTTACCTCGTTAAGAGGTGTTTTTATTTGATTTATTAATACAACAATTTAAAAAATTTGAAAATTTTTTATCTGCGAGCCTGATATTTAAACACAAGGTGTGAAATATGTGAAAAATTTAATTTCAGATACATTTCATATTTTAAAATCATTTAATTAGGGTTATTTTTTGAACGTGCTTATATATGTCAATAAGAACATTTTAAATTGGCGCAATCTTACCAAGGATGTATCTTTAAATAAAATAAGCAAAGTTAATTGGCTATGTGCAAAATATATATTTTCCGGATACTGCACTGTAGTGGATATTCCAATCCACAAATACCTTCCTCTTTAAGAACTTTACTCGAAAACTGCAAATTCTGCGCCATGTGAGTGTATGGGATGCAGCCAAAGTAAATCCTGGCCAGAATGGTGGCAGGACTTAAGTACGTGTTGATTATGGAGCGTGTTTGTTATTATTATTGTTGCAGCAACATCTTCTTCTTCCTTTTCGTTGTGGTTAATGGTAGTGAGCAAGCACCCGGGAGGGTGGGAGTTGAGTGGGGCGGTAAAACTTATACACCATTTACCATATCCCACGACTAGCAGCAAACGTAGTTTTTTATGCAAATATTTAAGAGCATCATCGAAGGCACGGCGAGTGCAAGATTCTTTCCACTCAACGGGGTGCAAGTGTGCGTGTGTGTGCAATAATGCCCCCTGCGTGTGTGAGAGTGGGTGTGGTGGTGATGGTGATGGTTTAGGGGGAATCCCCTCCTGCGTAAGCCATATGTAGATATATGTTTATGTCTGTGCACTACACTCGACGATAAAATCGTCATGTAGTCGTAATGTCTGCATCAAATTGCATTTGCCCAACGCCTCTGGCGCGTTGCTAACTCTCAGTCCCGCCCACTTTTCGCCACCGCCCCCGTTTCCCACCACACTTTTCCCTATTTTTACCAAGCGTGTGGATATGGGGGCTCCATATGTGTCGACATCGTCAACGCAATGTGTATTTATGCGTAGTTTAATGCGGTTCAATGTCTGGTAACGACATCAAAACACAGCCAGGATGGAAAGGAGTCAATGGGGAGTTTTCCACCCACTCCACTCACTGAAGTCATAATCATAATCAGGAATCATAGTCAGTCGCAGGAAAAAAGAAGAAGAAGCTGCGTCTGACTTGAATAGATATTTTTATTATTTTCAAATTGAATTCGCATATCGTTAGTACCGGCAAAGATCAAGGGAAATCGGGGAGCGTATTGAAAGTGCGCTTGAACGCACGTTAACCAAATCGGATTTGTTTAATATATGATCCGGAATGCGAATTTGATTGCTAAGTGCATTTCATGTGCATATCGATGGTTTGACAATGTTATGACAGGACTTAAGTGGGGGGATTAAATGACAAAATACGAAAAGTCCTAAACGGTTGCTAAGGGGGATTATTTGGAGATTTCAAAGGAGCGGCAAAAATAGGGGAAAGTAATTTAGGTTATTTTAAATGGTTAAATAGCTAAATAACCCTTGCGAAATCCATTTTTATATGAAATCAATTTCCTGGTTACAATCAAATAAATTCAAATATTTAGTTACAAGCAACAGTTAAGTTTGAGTCTAAGATAATTATTTACAGAATTTTACTTAAAGATAAGACAAACGATATATTACCCTGGTTGGCCTCTATTTTGAATTCATCCCGGGCTCGACCTTGGCTTTTTCCAACCCGAATAAGACGCCCCATTCGTGTCATTCGCTTGTCTAGAGGCATTTTATCATTCTGCTGATTTCAAGTACCAGCAGAGATGTATTTCACTCAGTGTCCTGGATCTTGTTGGCTGCGTATCCTCGTGTCCTTTGCCACTCGACGATTTGAAGATGCAAAAATGTCCATTTAACCGAGATTTATGGCAGCCAGCAGGGTTATTTATGGCAATTTGTTTTATTTACACGATATCTGCCAGTGGCCAGATGGAAAGCCACCTCCATTCCCTGGCACTAAGCACTCGCAAATAAATTTGCACAAATTATTATGGGTTAGGGGATTAAATGCAAACACGCCCTGGCAAAAAACAGCAAGAAAAACCGGGGAGATGTGCCTATAGCCATGGTTAAATGGATAAAGTTCAATGGGAACATTTCTGGGGAGAGGGAAATGCTGGGGAAATCCAGCCCGCGGGT